CTTTTGTTCCTAACTAAACCCTATGGGTTAAAAAAAGTCTGATTTTATCACCTGAATTTTTGGATTCACAAACGACTGGAGACACCCACGAACATGGCTCTTCAACCTATTCAATGATGTCCAAATCGAGCAGTTCATCCGACTTCTGGTATACATCTTATAGGTTGCATTACTGGCTCAACATGTGGGTCGATTGGTATTTCTAGTTGACAGGATTTCAGTTTCCCTACACCTTTGAAACACTTGGGTGTTTCTCAAAGAGTAGACAGTCCTGTTGTCCGTATTGGCAGCGTCAGTATCTCTTCAGAGCGGTATCTTGACCAAGCAAGGCTGGTCCTTTTCTTTCAATGCCCACGAATTCCTCATCCGGAATAAGTTTGGTTGTATTTTACGTTTGCTGTGAATATTCCAGCCATTTTAAGAGGCTGTTGACTTTCATAGGCATATAGCCGTTTTTCAACTTTGGAAGATGTGATTTTCCTTCAGATAGTTCCATGGTGGGATTCCCATTATGCTGAAACTCGAGCTCGCTCCCTAGTCAATTATCATGCTGAGGTCAACACCCCACATTCACAATCATGAGCACCCCCCAGCTTAATTGTTAAAATACATATAGGTTTAATCAACTATATATATATATATACTATAAACATGACATAAGGCTATCATTTGGCAGATATAGAATTTTGGTGGACACGAAATGCGTATATACTTTGTCATCATCACTCCAGTCTGAAACCAGCCCCTACTATTTCACTTCGTTCGTAGGAACGAAGTGAAATAGTAGGGGCCGGCTTTAGTCATCACTCCGGCTTGACTGCTCCGTGATATGACAAATTTTCCTTGGTTTCCTCTTTGCTTCACGGTCTTTGTTTTGCACATTTTCTCAAAATGTCCAATCTGCTTAAACTTATGACATTTCTTTCCCCTAGCAGAGTTTAGGGTCATTCCGTAGGTGTCCTTCATAACCACAACAAAATCATTTACTGTTTGTCTTCTTGTTTTTGCAAAATCTTTCTTGTTTTGCATACCAAGATTGTTTACTACATTACGTCATAATCAAATGTGCACAAAACAACCGCTCGAATCGTCAAAATTGTGTACCAAAATTGATGACAAAAGCAAACCCGCGATCTACCTCAAATTTCTCTAGTAATTTACGGTGTAAGTTATGACGAACACACTTCTCTCGTCCAGTTCTCTCTTTGTTTCCCTTCTCTCACGGAGATATTTTTTAAACCACGCCTATCGATATCTTTATACCCGGCTATATAGAAATCAAGTATTTTATTGGTATCTTGCGATGGTGAAAGTGCGAAGTTGCGAAGGAGCAAAATTGCGAATAGAGATGCGGAGAGTGCGAAGGTACGAAGGTGAAGTTTTAAGTGATACAAGTATCGCACGTCCTCCTTCGAAACTTCGCACCTTCCTTTGCAACTTCACACTTTTGCCTTCGCATTTTACTTTTGTGCAGCTATTGATCGTTATGAATTTATTTTTGTGGACTAAACTTTAACAGGAGTTGTTGTTTGTAGGTTCATTCATTTACCGTATTCCCACCATCGCACTTCTGTCTTCGCGTTTTTGGCGCCAGTATTTTCCCCCTTTCTGATGGTACTGGTATTAGTTACAGTAACAAAATGGATAGAAAGCAATAGTACAGGGTGTCCCAGAATATATGATACCATTTCATGAATATATAAAATATAATGTAATGAATATTGAATTACAACAGATGCACTATAAACATTGCATATACTGTCCAATTTTATTCACAAAATTTAATGGAAAATAAAAGGAACATGACAAAATGACTTCACTTTGAAAAAAATGCTATTGTTTTTAACAAATGTCCTCTACATGACGTCCAGTCTGGGTAATGATCATGTCTAGACATTGCACAAAATTCCATAACTTAAGCTAACAATGCGTTTTTCATTATTTAAAATCTAGATTTTCATTGGATATTTACATTTTAAGATGAATTAAAGATTTAGATTTAGACATAGTAACAACATTTTAAGACTGAATTTGATAATTACAGTTTTGAATGAGGGTACCCTGCTTATTTGATCAATCAATTTTGCTGTAAATCCAATTTTTAGCATTTTTTGACGTAATTATTTGGCTACATTACTCCAACTATGTGAAAACTTTTAACTGAAATTATTTGTTGCTAAAAATTGTATTTACTCAAATATTTAATGAGACAAATTTCAAAGAAATTGGTCAAGACATGCGTTTCTGACAATAATTCAAAATGGTTTCATATATTATGGGACACCCTGTATCTTCAAACGATCCTCAATTAAAAAAAAACGATGGCGAAAGTGCGAAGTTGCGAAGGCGAAAGAGTGTTACTACATGTAGTATTGCTTCTTCGCCTTATCACTTTCGCTTTGCATGTTCGCGCTTCGCCGTTGCATCTTCGCACTTTAGCATCTTCGCCCCAAAGGCTAGAACGCAAAGGTGCGAGTGTCCCCATTGGAACACCAAAATATTTACTAATTGTAATTTTAGCTCAAAGAAATATAAAAATATTAAATTTTTGCTAAAATGACGCATTGTTACCTGCCATAAACATTTTACAGGCGATTGAACTTATATTTCTTAATTAAGTCTGTTTGTTTTATGATCCTGTGCTTGTAGTCCTATAAAAATTGTAAAATTATAATCCTAGCAAGTTAGGAAATATCACTGAACAACTTGTAAGATGCAATAACAAGTTTAAGATTACAAAAATGTGATCAAGTTACATGTATGTGTAAGTTAACGGTCATAAACAATAAATATTATTAGCTATAGGTAATCGACCTCAAACGGTGAAAGAAATTCCCTGGTATTCCCTAATTAATGATGTTTAATACGTAATTTAAGGAAGCAAGAATTTTAGAATTGGGCGGGTACGTTACAGTACGTGTCATTCACCCCCTTAGTTTACTGGGTAGGTCTCACATGCTGCATAAATAAGATAATATTTATTTGAAGTCAGGTAAATTAATATAATATTTATTAGATTATGAAGTATATTGTCCTTTTAAAAAAACACGTACAAACAAGGCGCTGGAAATATTTTTATATAATAGTTTGTTTATAGAACTCGAACTAATGTAAATCATGACTAAGTTTATAAAGAGTAAATTATTCATTATTATAAAAAAACATGAAATGATAATTTTTTCTGCGGAAAATCGCTGCAGATACATGTATTGTAGATACGTCTTTTTTTAAAGCGATTTCCTTGCGTTTTGAACCAAAGCGATAACCCCCCCCCCCCCCCCCGGATTTTGTCTTCTTCGAGACAAACACGTTCACCACTAGACCGTACAACTCGTAAAGGGAAAGGTAAATAGTTATTTTTTTATGACATAGCTTAAATTTCTAGAAAGGATACAAATGTGTCTTGGGAGTAGAATTTTTACGGTAAGCAGAAAGCATGACAACGGGCAAACTCCAAGATATATACCCTTACAAAATTATGATGAACTCTAGTGGCAATATGCCTTAATTTGAAACTTGTGGTATATCTTTTAATATTTTACAAGCGTCCAAGTCCATGAGGCCAGATTTCTAGTAGAAATTAGGGTTACCATTATCCTTGTATCTCAGTGAGACATATAGTATACTAGAAGATGCTACAGTTGTTACAATGAATCAAGAGTCGTCCGCTTGGCGCAGTGGTTAGAGGGTCTGCTCGAGCTAGAGTCGAGGAGGTAGGAGTTGATCCTTACGTCGCGGGTTCGAATCCACTGCGGGACGTGGAGACCGATTCTTCGATTAGCCGTATAAACCGAGGTCCACGCAGTTGATGTTGGCACGAAAAAGATCCCTGACTGATACATGGCCCTGAGTGCCGAGTATAGCTATAAATTTGCAGGCCTTCGTTGTGAAGTGGTATAGCGTCTCCAAAGGAGTAAATAAATCTTGATAGGGACGTTAAACAACAACAACAACACCAACAAAAGAAAAACAAAAAACCCAAATCAACAACCAAAAGAAAGAAGACTTGAAGAAAGAAAGAACGAAAGAAAGAAAGAAAAAGAAAGAGAAAGAAAAGAAAAGAAAGAGAGAAGGATAAGTACCATGGTCCAGACCATATTATGTCTGTCAATATATGGTACTGAATAGACCGTTCATGGGAAGGAGGAGTGTGATGTTGGTGTTGACGATAGTTGTTGATATTTCACTTTAAAATGGGTGTTGTTAACTTTAAGTTGTTCTTTCTGAAACAATGTTTTTCTTCACACTGCAAGGGTACTGTAGACTTCAAGAACCACGGTGAACCCCAGAAAAAAATAATTCCTTGGGTGAATGAATTACAACAAGGGAAAAAGATGGTGTACCCTTGTACACAAAATTAGAAATGGCCAACTAACAACTAAACTGTGAGACAAACAAGCCGAGTTCAGAATTTCCATCGTCACTTTTTTTAGTCTTTGTAATAATTGTATTATCACCTGAAATGTATTGATACTCTGTCTCAAGAGCATATTTTGTGAGCACATTATTTTTTAACCCATGCAGGCTACTGACAAATAAAGTGATGTTGCAGGTACTAGTACTTTGATTTTGATCATCACATACATGTATATGTACACATAGGATAAACTGCATACTATCTCTGTGGCATAAGACACATTTTATGTTACAGTAAAAGAATTTTTTAAAATTACTAGTATTTGGAATCAAATGTGGAACATCTGCATGGACTGATCGAATTGCTTGATAACAGCGTCTGAAGGAACTTTTAACACATGTTTAATGACTGCCTTTCTAGACGATTATTAATTTCACATTAATCCCAGCTAACCTCCCTGAACTTAAAAAGAAGTAACATTAACAATATGAAAACAGTACTTCAAAATATATTACAAAATACTTTCAAAATCGTGTCTGCTAAAATATCATGAATCTTCGTTTCGTCGGGTAAAGTTCACATTCTTAAATATCAGATATGACGTCACGAAAATTTTCAGCCAACCCACAAGCGTTTGATTGACCCCGAAAAGACCTAAATAATTTTCTACGAAGTGAATGTATTGCACCAAATCGAGCCATGGATACTGTATTTCCATGAAGCGACAGGGTGCATTTTTTACGTTAAGTACAAGCAATGGATAGATATTTTCCTATTTAATTGAAAATCTGAAATGTAGCTGCAATTTTAAATGCATTTTTAGCATCTAAAGGCCGCCTAATCGAGGCTTGAAAAATTAAAGATGGCAGCCAAATCAGGAATATCCCTAAATTACATGGAAAATGGAGATATTTCTTCAGGTAGGAAAAAGAAACAAGGATTGGTTACAATTTAGTCAAGTAAGGAATCCTTTTCTTATGAAGTGCCTTTGGGTTTATGTTGCAAATTTATGCGTTGGGGCGAGGTAGGGGTAAAAGATGTTTGTTTACGTCTTAATATATGCCCTAAAATTGTTTCAACAGCATCTGTATCCGTGTGCTGTTTCATTTTTGTCTATTGAACTTAATTAAATATTACTATATAGAATATTCATGTCTACAAAATAGAATAGAAACAAATCCTGGAAGTATTAACCATGCAGTCTTCCTGTTTGGAAACTAACCAGTATTGATCTTTTAGAACCTTGACTTGATTTTATGCTGATGACATGTACATTCAGTGTGGTAATTATATCACAACAACAGTCGTAGAGTTTGAAATATACTTCAAGAATATTTTTGATCTGTTAATGACAGCGATAAATGTAATTTTGATTTATAATATCTGACATATGATATATTTATACATAAACTCGTGAGTAAACAAAAGAGGATGTAAATATTGTAATTTAGATTACCCATTGTTTTCTTAAATGTACTGCGACATAATACCCTTATTTAAATTATTTTAAAAAATTTCAACAACTGAATGATAAGAATATATTTTGATGATATAATCTATCATGATCTATAGATGGAATAGCAGTGCTATTTCTTAATATTCTTTCAGTCCTTGACATTGCAAGAAAGCTCTTAATTTCTGTCAAACTAATGGGACTCTGAATAATAATAACAATATTTTATGCATACGGTTTTAGAAGGAAAAGAAGAAAATTTTGTTTTACTGTACACTGTAGAAGCACAATTTTCGTGGGGATCAAATTTTGTTGATTAGTTACCTAAAACGTGAAATGGTTACTCGGGCATTAAATTTTATCATTAATATATTGATAGTCACCCAATTCAAAATATAGCAATATGAAAAAATTGTTTGGGATTTAATTATGTTTATAATTTATACAATGTTTTCCCTTTATTTGTAACAGGCTAGGGGTTGAGGTTTATGAAAAAATGTATTTGGACCTTACAACTATAACTGTTATTTTTTTAAATTTCCAAACTGCATGCATTTTATTAATTGATGCGGTCAATTTGGACAGTCACATCATAGGGAAAACACTATTAACAATGAAAGTATTGAAATTTAATCCCAGCAAAATTTTTAATCTTACAGTAATTTTTTAATAATGAAATGACTATTTAATTTATTCATCAGAAAATACCCCCAAAAAATAAAGGATCACATGCTTTATGAATGTTATAAATTTTCTTTAAAAGGTGAGACAATATGTCTACGAGATTCATTTCTTCATGAATCAAAAAAAGTTATTGAAGTCAATGCTACACTTCTATACAGTTCAGTTTTCATAGTTTAAGTGATATACAGGTTTACATATACATACTTTATATTTAACGATTTCAAGAAATTGTATACACAGTTTGAGTCCGAAACAGACTTAACCCAGTGATTGGGAAGGGCTTGCGCCACACGCCATAGTCGCATTGAAGTGAAAAATGGCGCATTAAATCAAACAATCATGGCGCCAAGGTGCGCGTTCAATTTTTAGCTATGTTATTTGGAATTTTTTGGTGTACGACTTTCTTTCTTGTTTTACTTTCGTTTTAAATGCAGACAATTTAAAACAACAAATCTCATTGGTTGAACCCCGTCAAAAAGTACTTCCGGTTAAATGAAGCACTTACATGAGTACAATACTTCATTCATTTGTATGGTAGGGCTGTTCCCTTTCCAAAACTGTCATAATTTTAACACAAAATACAAGTCAGTTATATTCTAAGAAAGTTCCTTTAAATTTACTTTATTTCATGCGTTAAAAATCGGATTCGGTTAATTAAAAACGTGTTTTCTCTCGTATTTCATATTTGTTTGTCACTTTGTTATTTCTTAAAATGGCCCTTCAGATTATATTGATGGCCCATTCATTTTCGAAATGGCCCATCAAAAATGTTGACAGTTGCGCCATAGTCTCATTGACCATTTTGGCCTTCCCAATCACTGTTAACCATGGATCATTATTTTCTTTATTGCTTTTGACCAAGTCTCAAGTCTTAAGTGCTATTTTTATCTTTGTTAATTAAGTAAAAACCAATAGTTCTACGATCCCGTCAGAGACTTCTTTCCAAATCTATATATTAAATTTATACACTGTGTCATGGAAAATACCTAACAATATGAATATTGATATGGGAATCTGTTAGCAGGTGTCTCCAATTCCAAACATAATGAACTAAAGAAGAAGATGGAAAAATTGCATCGAAGCTATGTCAGAGGAAAAGAATGGAAAGAGAGTATGAGAGTTGTTCAGCAGAATCTGTCAAGGGTAAGTGACGTTTCTGTAGGTACGACAAGGGTTAGGATGTCATATAGGTACAAGGGTACCTGTAAAGGGTGGGATAATTCCATGGATATAATAAACTGTAGAATTGCACAGATATTAGAAACTGTAGAATTGAATTCCACAAATATTATAAACTGCAGAATTTGACAGATTTAATAAACTGTACAATTCAAAGAAATAGAAAACTGTAGAATTCCCCAGATGTCACAGAAGTTGACATAAATCCGGATTATTTTTTTACTTTTTACGTCACATAATCAATATTTAATTGGAGGTGGGGCTATCCATCAGCATCAGAGTCGACATCTCTTTCTTCTCTCTCTCTCTCTTTCTCTAGAAATTCAAATATGATTATGGTATATCACAGTGATGTCAAAATGAAATTAAAAGATTTCACTGGTAGATATTGTGAGGACACACAAAAATATAATAAATTTGCTAAATTCTGAAAATGACAGACTATCCAAACACTCTCTAAGACATGAAGTGTCCACAAGTATACTCACACCTGAACATCATGTGATGAATTGTAATATTAAACAGTTCAATCAAAGTCGAATCAAGGTTATAACAATGGAAGCAAGAATTTTACTTTGAACATGTTTTTTTGTTTAATTAGTACACGTTTGTCAGCTCATCTCCTGTTGATATGAGATTATTTTTGTTCAATATACATGTACAGTTTTTGAAGAACAGTCGACAAAAATGTGCTGACAATGTATTCAGTCAGTGAAAAAAGTGTGACTCATTTTCTTTTGATATTGAAGAAATCTTCGGGTCCCATGCCTTCGATGTTTTTTTTTTTTTTTTCCTCAAAAAGAGTGTTCTAAATTCATTTTGAAAGCTATTAAAATAAAGCAAACATTTACAGAATTTAAATTGTAATTTTGATATTATTTTCGAGATCTAGGCAAATAATATTACTATCATGCCATCGCAAATGTTTTTCATCTGCAGCAATTAACCATTTTCACCAAGAAAAATGTTATTCTTTTGCGATCATATTTTGTAAAATTGTTTCATTTTTTATCTTTTATCTGATTATTGGGTTTCAAAACATGCAGCTATCCAGATTTACAGTTATATAGATTGATTGTATATTTTTTAATGTCAAGTCGGCAATATTACAGCGGGATTTACAAATAGAAAGGTCTCGGTGATGTATTATGAACGACAAGCTAACACCTGGGTAAACTCTATTTAGTAAAACAAAAAGACATGTCACTGAACAATGCTGTTTGTAAAATTTGCATTTTTTCTCTCCAACAAGCCAACAAGTAGGTCATTCAGAAAAGTAGGTTAGTCAGATTCCCCCCCCCCCCTCAACTTTTGTCTATGATCTTACAAAGGGTTGCTGATTCTCTATCGTTCAGTTTAAGTTCACTATTGTAGTTAAGTTCTAAGAAGTAATTGATGAATAAGACAACTTTCTTTTTCAGGATAAGAAAATGATGGTTGAAGAAAAAGATGCCACTACAATACGTTCATGTTTAGACAGACTTCAAAGTTGTATCAAAGGTTTGTCATTTATAATATTCATCAAAGGACAGTTTTCATTGTGTTCCTGAGGAGACCCACAAATTTGTGTCTTTCATAAAATGCTCAGTTTCAAGCGTGATTGCTTATTAAGTCTAGCCCTGTCATAATGTATGGAAAAAAATGATCAGTAGTTAGTCTTTTGGCAATAATTTAATTTTGTTTGTATTCTCGCCTGTCATTGGTTGATTTCCAAAAAAGGAATGCAAATTATTTTGTATAATCTGGTTTGGGATGGGGACACAACACACCCCCTTGACGACCAGCTTAATCATCTTATCCATGCAATCCCCTCATTTCCAGTCCTCGGAATCCATGGAAAATTCCAGATTTAATAAATGTACCTTTGACTTCAAACAGTTACTCGTTCTTACCTCATGTTATCAAACATCATGGCTGCTAGATCTATGTATCAGTTATTACTAGTGATGGGACATCGGTTAATTTTCACATTCAATCATCGATTGGAATCGGTTACTGCTTCCGATGCGATTTTACCAATTATAATCGGTTGTCATAGTTGGGTATATAAAAAGCAGATTTTTTTTTTTTAGTTTAAATTTTTTTGAAACTTATCTGGAATAAGTAGAAGCCTAATAACACTTCCATTTCATAAGACTGAGTAATTGGAAATAATTTAATTGGATATCTACCACGTATAACCGATACAACACAGAGGAATGGAGGAAATTCGGATTAGTAAAAAAAGACGATCATTTTAAAGATTTCACAAATCATGTAGTACTGGTAAATGGATTAGATGAAGGGTATTTATGAACAATAGGACCATGCTACTTTTATTTATTTAAGTGATTGGAAGTTTTAAAGCAAAAAAACATGGGGAAAGCGTCTGTTTTCAGTTAGGGGACTGGAATGGTCCTGCAGATTTTTAATTCGCCACGTGGGCGAACAAGTTATAAATTTTATGAGCCTACACCGAAGTTTACTCGTAGTTCCTAAGCACCTTTGCTTCGTGCTAGTTGGCAAGTATCAGAAGCACATGTCAATTTTCTTTCATTAAGAATAAATAAATTTTAAACTAGAAATAGATAATTCTGGAATGTACTTTATTAGATATTTATGTTTCCGATGATCGATTATGAAAAATTTTAATCGATCATCAGAATCGGTAGCATTTCTCGTTGAGAATTGATGTTTTCCTATTATCGGTACAACACTAGTTATTACCTCCCCTCGTTTCAAATCACTTCCGTTACTACGGTTGTATTAAACTATTATTGCGCGGTAAATTTGAACTCATAAAAAGCAACACAATTTTACATCCAAAGTTGTTTAATTGTTTTAAAACATCTTCGCTAGCCGTAGCCAAGGGTTTCTGATACGCTACTCTCCTCATAATCCCTTGGCATACGGTGTTGATAGAAGTTGTTTTTTTTTCTTGAGTTCTTCTCTCTCTCCTTCAACCAATAAGCAAATGTTTTATACGCCCGTCTTAATCACGGGATGTATTATGTTAATTCATGTCCGTTTCACTGGTTTGTGTCCGGACACATAACTTCAATGATATTTGATAGGATTATCAAACTTTGTCAACTGATACTTCCTAAGACATGTGTTTCGCGCAAAAAGTAGGTCGCTATGACCTTTAATTGATGATGCTATGGCCAAATATTAAACAGTTCATCGAGGTCATAACTAGTAAACATTAGACCTAGAACTATCAAACTTGGGAAATGTATACATCTTGGGTAGAAGGTGTGTACACCTATTTCAAGGTCACTGTGACCTTTAATTTAAGTTAATTTTTTTAAAAAACTAAGTTTTTTAAATTTTGAATTTCATAATCCTAAAAAATGTAAAGATATAGTTGTATCCTTATTAAAAAAGTGTTAAATCAAGAAAATACTTATTTTTTTCAGCATATACTTGACAGCAATCTATAACAAATATATTAATGTATGTTAGAGAAATCCCATGTCTCCCATGAGTGTAATTATCAAGCACTGGTCAAAGTTTTGAAATAACAGAAAGTTGCATGTCAAATTTAAGAGAAATTAATTAGTTTAGTGTGAGGAAATAATAGAGCATCGGTGTTATATATATGTTTTGGGAATTAAGGCAGATTAAGTTCATTATAAAATTTTTTGGCTAGCCAAAGTTTTAAAATGAATTTGATGAAAAGTAATTTACACTAATTTGATTTTGCATAATAAACTGATATGATATATAATATTATTAATTTAAAGAACTAATTTCATACATTGGAGTCAGCATGTCCATTTTCCATAGAAATCGCATATTAAAATCTTTCTGACATTAAATGTAAAAAAAAAAATCATTGAGTATTTTATATATTTTTAAAAATATTTTATGGTAGATAGTTCAGATCCATTCATCTATAGTAATGAACAAAAAGACATGTCAAAGATTAATTAATGAGTTCAATTTATAAAATTTCATTTCTGTCTCTTTGGGAATTAGCCAACAAACTGCTGGTCATTGAAATAGCATATGTCATTTGATGGCCAGCCTTTTATTTTCAAAATTAATTTAGTATAGATTAAGTTGTTAAGACTCCGGTAATTTGATATTGTTTAATATGATGGGCATTTGACAAGGTGTTAGAAATCTATCAATGTGCTATGATTAATGCCTACACCACAGGGGATGGATAAACAAATATTTTAAGGAATAGAAAAAATTATGGAAATTTTAGAATCAAGGTTGACATGATTTTCTTTACTAAACCATTTAAGTTAATTTTAATTTTTTGACGGGCGTATCATGCTGTGGCGTGGCACTTTATTTGTAAATGATGCTCATATTTCAAATGTGAAGTCTAGCCTGTTTAATCTCGGGAATGAAAAACACAAGTAAACAATGATCCGTAAGATAACATGCAGTTCTATGAATAGCTATGGTGTCATCCAATATCTTCTAAATATGTGATTAAGAATTTATATTGAAGTTCAGATTTGTACTGTAAATAATAAATAACCATAACTAAATTATTGCTTCTTAATTATTCTTGAAAAAAAACTTTGATTTAATTTTTTTAAACACACATATTTACTTTTAAACACAATCCGTGCATACCATCAACCAAAAAAATGTAAACAATTTTTTGATTCACCGTATGCCAATATTTCAGTGTTTTGTAGGTGCGTATCACAAACTCTTGCAAAAAATGTTTTAAAATTAAATTAAAAAAAATCCTCCTACTTTTGGCCATAAAATTTTTTCAGAGTATAATCTGGTTCAATGAGGCGGGAGGCTTTTTTATAACAAACTATAATTTTATTTTGTTTTGGGTTTAATTTTTGATGAATTAGGGATCTATAAATGTGGAATCTCCGTCTCTCAACTGTTAAGAACTGGGTCATCTACAGAGAGAGAGAGAGATTTAATTAAAAGGAGCTTGAAGATCAGACATGCTAATTAATCAGGCTTAAAACTTCTCACATCTGATAGGCTTTGTATAGGTAATTCTAATGAGATAAAAATGTTAGGTAATAGCAAGGGACATTATTCACTGACTCTGTAAATTATAGCAAGTACTGGTTATTGTACATTTGCTCAGAGAAGTTTTGACCCCCCCCCCTCTTTCCAAATTTATGGAAGCTATTAATGTTATGCAGATTTATATAGTCTATTAGAGCCATGTATTTACCCATAAACTGTGTATGAAGAAAACAAGTCATTAGAATAAATGAAGAAAGTTTACTCTTGGAAGCTTCCATACATATATTTGAAATTTTACGATTTGAGCATTATTTATTTTTTTTGAATGTTACCATTTGAGCATTATTTATTTTTTGGAATGTAACAATTTGCGCATTGTTTATTTTTTTAATTTTATGATTTGCACGTTAATTTATTTCAGTGGTCAGTCAGCAGACTCTGCTAGAGCGACTAGAGGCTTCCTCCAGACAAGTGGGCCTGTTGTTCACCCTGCCTGGGGCCTCAGAAAAGAGTGCCATCATCAGCAACGAAATGTTCCGAATTGAAATCATTTTTGATCCCGGAGGCCTCGTTAAGGACGTTCGTGTCAGTCACCAGGGGGAGCCAGCAGTACGTATTTTATTTCGTTACAGTGAAACCTGTCTAATCCCAACGTGCACTGGGAGACATACTGTATAAGCAGAATTTTTAGTGAGGATTTAATTTTGGCATTTATTAGCGAGGGTGCCAAGATCGCTAAATCCCTAAAAATTTATTGAGCTTTATTTGTAATAGCTTTTTAAGTCAGCTTTTTAAAATCGCTAAAATTACATCTCGCTAAAAATGAAATACCAATTTTTATGGACAAATCGCGTCTCGCTAAAATTTCCACTTATATGGTATCTTAAGTTAGGTGTAGACAGGGGGGTTGGATTAGGCAGTTTGAAAAGCATGGAGTGTAGTATAATGGGAATGAAAATAACGATCAAAATTTACAGGGAATCTGATACTATAAACCAATTATTATTTGTATCATCTTTTTTTTTTTTTGCAATTTGGCAGTTTTAAAATCAATCGGAGACAAATAATTTTGGCAACTTAAGGAAAATTCTGTAAAATTATACGGCAAAATTAATAATATTCTGTAAAATGATACAGCAAGATTAATGATTCGCAACGTTAAAATTCACGAGCCAAATTCATGGATATTCATCACACCTGGTTTACAGTTACACAGATGCTGGATTAGATGTTTTCACTTTATTTTGCATTTTTGAGAATTTCCTCATTTTCAAAGTTTTTCATTGGTATTAGGTTTAGTTGAAAAATCACTCTACCATAGGTCTGAAAAAAAAACTTGACAGATATTTTGGTAAATTCTACATTGGTTGACCTGTAAGTTGTGAGAAAAATTAAATTAGATTGAGTTTTAATGATGTCATGAAAATTGCAAAGTAAAAATAATTATTGGAATTTGTAATTGCTTAGATGTCACAATCATGGTTACCGTAGATCATATGTAGTTATTATATATTTCAAATTATTTAGTTCTATTTTAAGACAGGTTGTACATGAAATGCTTCCTTGAAATTGATATTACTTATTTGATATAAAAATAATTTGAGTGCATCTTATTTTCCAGAGCTGTGATGAAATATTAGAAGTTTTGAGGTAAGTTTTTAATATTTTAATTCTTTGCATCATAACGTACTATGAGAATGGTCTTTCGATTTAGATGTAGCTTTTAGTAAGAAACAAAATGATTAAGGAAAATAAATATCTAATCAGTTAGCCAAGGTGAAAGTTGAAGATTATTGTACATTGTGATGTTATAACTTGAAAAATCTGTAACCTAAAGACTTCATAAAATTATATAATATACATTAAAGGAGATCGCTTTCGCAATAAAATCTGTAGGTTTTAGAAGGTTATGGTCAAGGCTGTTTTAATGGACATATTTTCTTTCTGAGATTGTTAAATAAAATTAGTCCAGCCCATCCTTAGAAAGTCTTCTTTCTTTTCAGGCAAGGAAACTTTGAGGAATTTATCGTTCACCTGAAAGGATTACAGAATATTTATAATGTACCGGGAGATAGGTAAACAACAAAAACAAAAAGCAAATAACGAAACATAAAACAACAACAAAAGAATGAAACTGTGTTCAAGTTATTTACATAAAAGGGTGTGTTTCCATTTCGCCTTAGCTGTGAAATTCAGTTAAGAAAAGGTTAAAAAGTACTAAGGCGAAATGGGAATTTTAGTAATTGTAAACATTATCACTGGGTTGATATAAAAAATTAAATGATAAAATTTTTAGATTGAATTAAACAGTTAACGGGAATTTATGAATACAGTGAATGAAATAATACATGTTATACCAAGTATTTTTTTAAAATACTTTATGGTAAATATAGTAAATCTTCATCACCTTAATTCACCCGAGAGCTTACTAAGGCGAAATGGGAATGCTAAATTTTGCAGTTAAGGCGAGATGGGAACAACCCCATAAAAGTACTGTATGTTGATAATTTTTTGCCATAAATGTTTTCTTTACAGAATAGGTAGCTCCAAAATTGATTGTATTGAACGGAATTTATTCAAGCTTGTTTTATTTGTAGGAAACAGAAATCCAAATTGTTTCTAGCTCTCCAAGCCTTGGAGACGGACCTGAATGGTTTAGCCCAGTTACAGAGGTAAGAGGACCAAAAACGGACTTTGTCCGAGTCTTAAATATTTAATATGTTTTACGGTGTGACCATTGGGGCAAGTGCAGTTGTGTCATCAAAAATTCACTTGTAATGTTGATCCCCCACTTAGAATGTCAAGTTGCACAAGACATCTAGACTGTGATGTCACACGACGTAATGGATCTGGTCAGAGCACACAGAGTTTATGGAGACAGCCGAGCATTTGGTTGAAACTATAGGCTTTCTAGTGCAATTTTTAAAGACAGACGTTGTAGAATTTTTTTTTTTAATTTCTTTACAGCTTTCTACAAACTGAAAGTCTATTTTATGTTATTTATTTATTTGCCATTATCGCATGTAATCCTGGTAGCAAAGGAACTCTGGGAAGGTTTCATACAAAAAATTTGCTTGATGTAGGTACAGATTTCATTATGAATTTCCTTTGTTCTTTCTTGTTAGTCTATTGAGCTCGCTGTGCTGGCTATTATCGTACATATATAGAAACTAGGGGTGGGACGATACACAGATCTTGCGATACGATATGTATCTCGATACATTAGTTCGATACAATACATATCTCGATTATTATGACAAATTATAAAACTATTTTAAAAATTAGTATTTTATTTCATTTTTTGTCTTGATTAAATCAGCAAATTATTCTTTATCAAATCATGTGTGCTTTGAAATTAATACTTGAAGTTCATCAATTTCATGGACGAACAGTTGACAAAAACAATAATACATGTACTCATATTACCAAATTAATTCTATTAACAAGTTGTTTACAAATAATTGTGTAGTTCGTCAAAGAACACTGACTAAGAATGAATTTTAAAAACATCACGTACATTATTATTAATTGCTGACAGTCTGTAGCCAATTTGAGATTGCAAAAAAAATCCAAAGTTTGTTTCAAAATTTCCAATTCTTGAAATTAGAATCTATACTTTGTTATGAGCTGTTAGTATCAAATGGACTAACAATTAATTTAATATATCAAATGTTCTGGAAATGATATTTTCTGTGTAAAGCAGTAAAAGCACACCTTACACACTGAACTTTTCTTGTCCAATCTTCCGAGGCTGCTTAAAATTGAAAGCATTTTACCCTTAATCACTGACTTATTAGTTTTAAAGTGTGTTTTCAATATCAACACCATCTTTTTGCTTCATACAAGCCGCCATTTTCCAAGGAGAGGTACTTTCATTTTCAATTTTTTGGATAGGTCGTTCGTGTATCGTATCATACCGATATTTAAATGCTTGTATCGTAAACCATATCTTAGAGGAAAATATCAGTATGTATCGGTGTATCGGTATATCGTCCCACCCCTAATAGAAACACTGTAGCTAAGCAGTAGGGCAGGCATTCATCCAATTCTGAATTAGCTTAGTTTACTCTGTACCATTACTTTTCATGCCATGATTTGACCCAGTGACCATATTGTTTGAATGTTGACCTGGCTGACCCTTAGACAATTTTTGATGCAAAATGTCTAACTTTTTAGAAATTTATATTGAAGAAAGATTTAGAAATCAGAGAAATGTGCCCTAAAAACATATGAAAATGTCAATCTAGAAATAGACCTCATATACTTGTTTATGTCGTCATCTTGTTATTAATAATAAGTTTCTTTAAATTCTGTCAATCAGTGTTATTGTTTTAAATGTTATTGAATAAGAATCGTTCAGAGAAGAGTCCTTCTGAATGATCTTGAAGTATTTAATATAAATTGACTTCTGATGTTTCAGTTCCATCAAAGGTGTATCAAACTGCATTCACAAATCTCCTCTAGGAATCCTACTGCCGAGGAAAGGAGGTAAGTTAATCCTATCCTACTGCCTGTGATAGTAAGGAAGTCAATCCTACTGCATAGGATAGTAATTAAGTCAATTAAGTACTTAGGAAAGAGATTAAGTTAATCCTACAGCCAAAGAAAGGGGGTAAGTTACTGTTAACCAACTTTTATTTGCGTGTGAGAAATTTTTGCGAAGTTCGTGAGAGCCTGGTCTTCGCGAATATTTTTTGCCACGAACTGGTCCTTAAAGTGTATGTGTCTATTAACAACAGATCCAGAAAGGCTAGATTGCAAAAATTAATCGTCATGAACTAGTTTATCCCTGGTAAATCGTGAAATAAAGTCATCACAAATAAAAGTTAGTTGACAGGAATCCTACTGCCTAGAAAAGGAAGTAAGTCAATCCTACCGCTTAGAAAAGGGATTATGTTAATTCTATTGCCTATGATGGGGGTTAGATTAATTTGACTGCTTAGGAAAGGAACTAAGTTAATTGTACTAAGATTAAAAGAAAGTTCAACTGCCTGGTAAATGAGTTTAATTAATCATATTGCATAAGAAAGGAGTAAAAAAAATCCTTCTGCTTAGAAATTGAGGTAAATTAATCTTACCTCTTGGGCATAGCTTTTCAGTATTGATATTATTCCATTTTTTTTTCACTAGATCCTCTTCAAATAGATTTCATTTGTTCATTATAAATAATTCAAAAGTGACAACTACTGTAAAAATCACATATTTTCATGTGGTCAAATTTTCGTGGTTTGAGGAAAAAGTATTGGGTTCGTGGGGATTTGATTTCGTGGATGTAGAATTGTTGAGTAGTTATGTATGTAATATTTTACATTTTCGTGGTGGATATGAATTTGTGGGTCTCTATACCTTGCAAACAGCGAAAATTAAACCCCCCACGAAAATTTGTGATTCCACAGTAAACTGTGTCGTAGTGAGGAAATTAGGGGATAGTGTGTTAGTTCTGTGTCAATTAAAAAAAACGCGTATAAAAGATAGTAATGTTTTGTGTCCTCAGATTAGGGCTGTGTATTGAGCAAAAAATTTCGATACGATACGATACAATATTTTTTATAGCGATATGCAATATATTGGATTCTGTAAAAAGTCCATGAAAAAAGACTTATAAATCATTTAATGCATGTTTTTCATAAAAATTAAAGTGTTTTATTATCCATTTCAAGGCTCTCGTCTTGTTGTCTTTACAACTAACATTTCAAATTGAAACTTGTAATGACTGTTAAATCAAAATTCTAAAATAAATTTGTCTTTGTTTTTGTAATAATTCTAAAAACTGTATTATTTCCTAACTAACTATATGATTATTGAACAGTTTTAATTCAAAGAAGTGACATATGATCTTTGGTGATTGAGATTCCCATCTTTTTAACAGAATTAGAAGAAAAAATGTCTGTCCGATACGTATTGGAAGTTGTTTTGCGATACGATATGTTTCTTGAATATTGATACGTATCGATATATCGATATATTGATACAGCCCTACCTCAGATAACTGCATGTATGGCATTATGGATGAATGATTTACACGTAGCAGTTGGAAAATACTTGATATGTATATATATTACATGGGGAAACATTCCTTAGATTACTTGTATGAAATATTACTCTATGAAGATATTTTTTGTCTCGACATTACCATGTGATGTTTCGCTTGGGAAGATAATTTGCTTCCAGAAATAACGTATATGATATTTTAAAAAAAATGATTTCCTGGTCTTTCAGGTTGCCCAATGAAGCTTGTATACTACGTATCCCCTTATGATTTGTTGAACAAGAAGTCAAGATCACCATATCCAATGACTGTGGAAGGTTTGTAAATTAAATGCTAATTAAGTGTCCATGATGTCAAGTTTAATGTAAATTGTGGATTGGTCTGTACATAAGATATTCTAAATATCAGAAGAATCAATGTAATTTAAACTAGAAAAGCAATGATGGATAGAAATGAATATGAAAAGTCCAGGTCCCAGTCAAATTTTTAATCGCCTGTAAATGTTTTTTAATATTGAACGAATCTCTAATTTTGCAGATAACAGCACTTTTGTAAAGCAATATTATACAATTGTAGCTGGGTTTTTTTTAGGTCAATATGATGATTTAAACACCTGAGGAGTACAATATTCACTGAACGGTTCCGGCTCAGTGAATAATGCACTTTGAAGGTGGCTAAATCGTTGTATTGACCACAATAAACAGCAATAACTGTTTTTATTACATGATTAAATGATTGCTAACCCCTACCAGACTCTTTTTCTTTAATTGAAAGTTTTACCAGAAATTTCAACAAAAACACATAGTAACAGAAAAATGGAACAGGAATAATTCCTTAAATTGACCTGCAATAATTCCTTTTTAAATATTACCGGTAAATAATCAGGAATTTTCATGATTTCTGATTCGGTTATTGACTTTTGAATTCGGTCAACTTGTGACTCAACTACATAATCAGTGTATTGGTTAACCTTGGTCTTCGGCGTCGGTCAACCAGTACCTGACCAGGTCTGTATAGTCACGAGTAGACCTCATCAACAGTCAATAATTGTAAAATATTGTCCTGGAAGGTAACATGATTCCTTATACAGTAAAACTCGGTTAAAGCGAAGTCCTGGGGACCTGTGAATGTTATTCGCTATATCCGTATAACAAATTCGTATAACCATATATAGCAAATTCGCAGTATGCATGTTTTCCTTCAAGTTTTACTACCAAATATGTTAGGGAAGCAAATATTACAAAACATGCCTTCGATAACTAAGGTTGTATTATGATTTGAATTTTATATACAAATGCTATAAGAAAATAAAGTCAGTTTCATTTATCAAATTTTGAGATCTTTGAAAATTCGTTATAAAAGATGTAAATTTCATTATAGTTAACCTCAACGGGACTCAAAATCAGTTCGCTATATCCGTAAATTCGTTATATCAGAGTTCGTTATAACCGTAAAATTTTACAAAGATTTGTTAAGAATTTTGCCAGGGACCTAGAAAAACTTCGCTATATCCATGAATTCGCTATATCCGTGTTTGTACTAAACGAGTTTTACCTTATTGACCTGCAATAATTCCTTATATTGACTTGAAGTCACATGCAGGTCAATATAACATAGTACATGTATTTTTCTAACATTGTTGGATCTCAGCCAGTCAGTGAGAGAGAGAGAGAAATTATTCAATCATATAATGATAAAAAATATTTTAGTTTTTGTCTACTTGACCTTATCAAAATTCTAGTACAACATAAATATTTTGAGATGTTTCATGATCTTGGGCCAGGTGCTAATTTCTTTGTATGGTGTAAATGCCAGATTTATTATCACTTATGTTTAATTACAGTCTTTGAATAAACAAAAATTACAATGACTTCTTCAATGTAAATATTTAATACAGTGTCTGTTGACATTAATTTGTATTTAATGATGTTCAATAACATAAAAATAATAAATAAATAAAAAAAAAAATAAAATGTTTATTCAGGTGACACTCATACTGCAAGGTGATAATTAATTTATAATTATTCACGTGTTGCTTATATGCTATTAAAATAATTATCATCGACTGTCTCACGATAATTTCGAGACGCAGTGTCACTGAAAAATAGTAATTGATTACAAGATGAAACACTAAATAAATTTGATTTTTATTTCGAGTTAGTGTCAAATTTATAAAAACCATGTGAAAAAGGTTCGTACGGCATGAAAGTCATTGCATCCGGTAAGAGTAGACTAATTTTCAAACCTGTTAACAAACCAAGAAAATTCCGGACTCTTTGAAAACTCGAACTCTTGATCTTGGAACATGGAACTCTTGAAATAAAAATTTTTCAGTGGTCCGCAGACTTCAAGATATGAGAGTCACTTGTTTCCATAAATTCTTTAAATCAGACTTCCTAATAATTTTCCAAAAAAAAAAAAATTCCAGGATTCCGATGGGGATCTTGGAGGGAAAAAATACAGGTACTTGAAGAGTATTTGAAATGTTTGTATTCTGTGTTGTATTATAAAGCTGTACGTCTTGATTTCAGCCATAACAGAGAATGGTTTAGGACAGAGTGTTACAGTGTGTATGGAGCAGCATCCTCACCGACGACTTCAGACAATACCGTTAATGTCTGTCATACAACAAGACGGCAAAAGGTACAGGCTCTCACAAAATTACTTAATATTGTGATAGGGGCAAAATAAAGTCTTTGGTTCAAGCTTCACAGAAATATTTTCTGTCAAACTGTTTACAAAATTTCTTTGATTAATTGAAATTTTGTCCAAAGAGTTTAAAGTTGTTTGCCTCGTTATGTACATAAAACATTCTTGCTATTGTATCTTCCATTGTGGAATAATAAATCTGAACTTCATCTATAGAAGCACAACAATTGATTGATGTCATTTTTTCTACAGCTTGCCATCTTTCCAAGCCTTATCACAGGTCAACAGTACATCTCTGCCGGCGTGTTTTACTCTGGTGTTAGCCAAACCGATCCCTGTTGCCGTGTCCATAATCCAGGCCATTCAGGAGGTCACAGGTCAGAAATCTACAGCTTATCACAAGTCAATATCAGGAGTCAATATTACCAGTCAACATCACAAGTCAATATAAAAATTAAATTAACATTTTCTCTCAGAAGAAATTACATGGCTGGGGGATAATTTTATCAGTTTCATTTTTATGGCATCAAGCTCTAGAGCTCAAATTCATCTAGCTGGCGTCCGATTGAAATCTAGACCAAATCTAAGCAACAGAATGTGTCATTTTATACATCCGCAAAAGAAAATAACAATAGCAATACATCAGTTTCTTTGAAAATGTTCACAATGAATGAAATCTTGAAATAAAAATTGCATCAAGAGTAAATACAATTAATTCTGTTACAAAACAAAGATACTTTGTTTATTTTCTCACAAGAAAGAACATGATAGTCACAATTTTTTGTATAGTTTGCAGTGTTTTCCCTAAGAACCGGCTACCGGCCAAATTGACTGCTTCAATTGACAAAAATGCCGCTTTGAAATAACAATTTGTTGTTAGATCCACAAAGATTTTGTTCATAAACCTCAGCCCCTTGCTAGTTACAACTGATCTCTAACCCTTTACTTTGAAATAAAGGGAAAACACTGGGTTTGTCTGTGATGTGTGCTATAGGTTGTGTTTCTTGGTTTGTAGATATTGACGTGATAACAGAAGGAGGACCCGACTCCCTCCTGCAGCTGCTGCTCCCTCAGTCTGCCAGATCCAAACCAGGCTCTGAGTTCTTTGTGGTGAGTATCACTCGACTCAGCTGACTTTATGTCTCAGGATTGAGATGTGTTTCATATCTCAATTTATTTGGAGTTGAGGTGTGTTTTATATCTCAGAATTTAGAGTTGATATGTATTTTATTTCTCAGCATCCAGAATTGACATGTGTTAAATATCTCTGCATTCAGAATTAATGTGTCTCAAATAGAAGCATTCAGAATTGATGTATTTCAAACAGAAGCATTCAGAATTGATGTGTTTCTAATAGAAGCATTCAGAATTGACGTATGCTTCATATCTGTGTATTCAGAATTGACATGTTTTATATAGAAGCATTCAGAATTGAGATGTTTTATAGCTGAGAATCGTTCACTGTCTTTTTCAGACTCTGCCAGACCAACAGCATGCGTACTATCTGATGGACATTGGAGAGAGTTCTCTGGACCAGACTGCTAGAATGGTCAGCAGGATACCCTTTACGCACCCCACAAACGTGGCCAACATCCTGAACCAGCTACGCCAACAGTTACTGTTCAACACAGTGATCAGCAGTTGTATACGACCTTACGCAAAACAAGGTAGGTTACTGAAGGGGGAATCATCGGACATAGTATAATTCTCATTCCCTGCGACCATACATGAAAATAGGGCTAAGATGGACATATTTGAAAAAGTCAGAATGCATGTTTACTTTTTGAGATTTTTTACACCTTGACATTTAGGAGGCCAACTCCCTGAGTTATTATTATATTGCTTTCTTGTTTCCAAGATCAAGATTTGGACTAAGTTCATTGTAATTGAAATGCTATATGTTTTAAGAAACTTTTTACTCCTGAGCATATAGGAGAAAAAAAGTTAATGAATATGGAGTAGAATTCTTTATCGAAATTTTGATATCATGTTGTAAGGCAACTAAGTTCCAGTTTCATGGTAGGATTTCAAAGGTAATGGCCTTAGAAATTGGAATGTGAAGGATTATAATTGTCTTGTGACTATAAGTACCCTTCCTGACTCTAGACTTAGTAATCATGGCAGAATTTGTTATATTTGTAGATTTGCTGTCCTCGGTAGTGTTTCAGCTAGTCTGCACCTCCTTACAGAATTTCAGTGTCATGTTTGAACACCCTCTTCAAGACACTATGGTGACCGGTAAGACAATATCAACTTGAGTTACTTCCCTTTGACCTTGTAATTTACATAATCACATGAAAGTGTAAAACTAGTAGAAAAGGGTTAATGCAGTCGTTAATAATGTTTCTGTTTATACTTTGACATTTTCCACTATTGACTATCCAGCTCAGTTTCAAAGAAACTATTCAAGAAATTTTAATGAAGCCTTATTTAATAAGCTGATAAATATGATTAAGTCATTTCAGTATTAAGTAATTCAGTATTAAATTTATTAATTTTTTCCCAGCTGAGATTGACCTTAGTGACATCACAGGGGTAAAGTTCAAGGTCAGTGTTGCTGAAGGAGAAGAGTTGCTATCAGATGACGCTGCTTCCAAAATTTTCCAAAGGTACGAAACAAATTGAAATCTTGTAAAGAAGAAAAAACAGAGATTTTGAAAACTCATTCATATGATAAAGTATTTAATTATGCCCCCCAGGAACTTGCAAGTGCCCAATAGTAATCACTGTCTATCCTTATAAATTTTACTTTTTTCCACCCACAACTCTTCTGATACCTAATAAATACAAACTTGTTATGTTGTTCTCTATGGGCATTAAGATCTATTTTATTTCTAAGTTTGATTTATGTGTCATCTGTCTGCTTTGAAGCTGGGGTTGAGGGGTAAAATGTCATTATGTAAGATTGGATTGGTTCACAGAAATTTCTCCTACACATTTCCTGTCACATTTAGTTTAGTTAATATTATTCTCTGAGGGTGATTTTCAGTTTGTGAAAATAGGGATAGGCCTGGGTGATGTTTGTATTCTGAAAGGCTGAAATTTTATTTTACACACACTTCAATCTGGTTCAACTAAATTTTTACAGGTGATATTTCTGAGAAATTCAAAATGTGTATTTATATTGCTCAAGTTAAATATGTTTTTTTTACTGTTGTTTGTGAATACAATTCAAGGATATTGTTAATTTATTACAAGCATTGGCATAAAAATATTATTTTAAAGTATCCTTAATTTCATAATTGCTGTAGCTGTTGTTTAACACTCATCATATTTTTTAAAATTTCATTTTATTAAAGTTTTTCTTCATTAAATTATCACTTTCTTATCTGTTTCACCCGATTGCGTAATTCAAAAAAAAAAATTCAAATAAATTTCAAAGGTAAAATAACAGAAGAATGCTTGGTATTAAAATATTATTTCAAATCAGTTGAATTGAATGCTATTAACGACATCTGAAGAAATAGGCTATAAAAGGTTTATATCACATCTTTGTTCATCTGCACTGTAATTTCAAACACGACAGAATTTGTAATTTTTTTCGTATAAATTAATCATTTCTATATACTTTGTAAACTCACTGTAAAAATTTCAGGACACTTTCTTTAAGCTCTTTTCTGCAATTCCCATGATATTTTATGTCGATCCGATGTGTTGTTTGAGTTTCACTGAGATTCTCTATGTTGCTATTATTTTAATTTTTTTGGGGGGGTTGGGGGGGTGGTATTTCACTTTTCACCTATTTAACATGGGAGTTGAATCTTGTATCTTAGTCCAAGCACCTAAGATTGATTGTGACCTTTAGATCAAAGGTCAAGTCATTAGAAAACCACCACATCTTTACCTTCTATTCTGCCAACCGAAATAAACACTGAAAGGTGTTTCTAGATACATGTACAGTATACTTCATGTTTCTTTTTACCTTGGGTCAAGGTCAAAGGTTAAGGTCCAATTTCCAGTTCAAAGGTCAAGGTCATTTGGGAAAATAGCTAATATCAACATTTCATTCAGGTTACCAATGACCTTGACATTTGGCCTTGTCTAAGTTTCAAGGTCAAGGGTCAAAATATCTACTGCAGTATGTTACATGAGCGCATGTGCATGCACGTCCTTGCATTCAATTTTGATAGTAGCATAATGTAGGAATTCATTATACCTATTCATATTCCAAATGTCATCCTGTTTTATTGAGAACCAAGAAAGTTTTAATCATTTAAAGTTTTAGCTAGTCAGATTGCAGCACACATGCATGCTTGTGCGTTCATGATTATTCTTATATATCCTGCTGTAGATCTTCATGATGTGTGACTATTTTCAAAATTTCATAGGATTTTGTCAAAAAAACAAGAAAGGTGTTTAGACTTTAGTTTCAGCCAATAAGAGCAAAGTACACATGCATGCCCATGAGATCTTGCTATTTTGATCATGTCATCTTGTCTATACTACTTATATATCCTTATATTATAACTTTCAAAGCATTTCAACAAAAATTAAAAGAGTTACGGCTATATCAATCATATTGGTCACTTCACGTGTTACACATGAGCGCACAAGCACACATGTGTGCGCACAATGACCTTCGTTCCACAATATACATAACATGCCTAGTGACCCTAAAAAGGTTTCACCTAGATTGGATGAGTAGTTTACGAGAACACTCATGGACAAAAAAGTACCCAGGAAGAAGAAAAATCAGAAGAAAGTTAAAACAATATGTTCCCAAACTTTGTTTGGGGAACATAATTAGGGAATAAATATCTTCTAATTTGGTATTTGCGACCGTTAACATGGTTAATGCTGATTTAACGGTCGCAAACTGAGTTTTACTGGCGATGTGTAAGCGGGTGTTTGCGACTGTTAAATCAGCATTAAAGGTCGCAAATACCAAATTAGAAGATAGTTATTCCCATTCTAATGCAATCCATGCATTTTGTTTGTTGTTTACATCTTATTTTTTTGAGTTTTGTTACATGGATTACGTCATGGGGCATTGTGTTTTAGCGTTGCTGTATTATGACTTCACACTGAAAAGCTTTCTGCCTCGTTAACGCTCGTTTTACTGCTTCAAACATCAGTGCATTAGCCAATCAAAACGAATTTTACAAAACAATTGCATTAGAATTTAAATTTAGGAATATTTCTGAGTTTGAAGTCTTGATCTCAAATGGAGAGAACTAAATATAGGCCACTTTTACCTGCTGTTCGATCCATATTCATTGTATTTTTTTTTTTGTATATTATGAATGAAATACACTGTACTTCTTAAACTAAACTAGAATCTGATGTTCATTCCAGGTGCTTGTCTATCCCCGTGACTTTGAGGTCGGTTATTCACAAAGTTTCGGAACAACTACGCAAAGAACCTTCACCCGAGCCTTCCCCAGTTTCCATGGAGACGGAACATTCCCCGTTTGTGATGCCAGCAGAAGTCAACTTTGCCACACCTTTCCTGCCATCACTGGACAACAAGACTCTGTCCAGTCCCGCAAACATGGGAATTCCCAATGCCAAGATTCCCCCAGGGTTTGGGGGATTTCCGGTCCCTAATAGTGCTGCTGTGGGGACAATGTTACCCCCGCCCCCTGTTGGGGAAGATTCTAAGAAAGTGGATGCGGATGTGCCGGGTAGTAATCCGCTATTAGTGACTTTATTGGATCAGGATTCTCCTGATCCCGACCCGCCCCCAGTCAACGAGAGCCCCATGTTGTCTAAACTGTTGGAGGATGCGCCTCTGCATAACCAGGCCTCTGTGAATAATAACAATAACAATGTGGCAAACCTGGCCAGCAGTGTGCCCGTGCCACTTAAAAGTGGGCGAGGACGACCGTCAAAGAGAAAGTTGGCGGAATCCCCTCGAGGGAAAAGTCCCAAGCACAGGTTAACAGACAGTGATTTTCAGAGTCAATCTTTCGAGTCGATAAGCTCGTTTGATTCGGATTTTCAAAGCATGGGGATGGATCCTTCACGTTCCCATCATTTTTCACTGTCGTCACCCATTGATCTAACCGAAGATTCTGTGAATCCTTTACGAAGATTGGAGAATACGTTAGACAGTATTCAGTCGAAGACGTCCCATCACCCCAGTGATCCGTTGTCGGATCTATCGAGTGAGCTTGATCCTATGCAGGATGTCAATATTTTTAATCAAACGAATTCTGTGCCAAAAAACATGGCAAGGTCTACCTCTCTTGAGGGCATCCTCAACAGGTCGGGAGAGGCGTCCAGGACAAATGACCTACTTAAACCTCATCTTCACCTTCAGAACAGCACCGAGACCCCAAATCACCAGGTTAGTGTGTAACAGATCTACTTACCTCAGAATCGCCCCACCTCCCCCCCCCCCCTTCCCCTTTCCCCCTTACAGAACAGACCCCAAATCATCAAGTAAGTGTGAAGCAGATCTACTGAAACCTCATAATCTCTCATCTTCCCCCCCCCCTTTGCATTTGACAAATTTACTTAAACTCATTTTTCCCCCCCCCCCCCCCACATTTAACATCGTCTCCCAGAGCAGACCCCAGATCACCAGGTAAGTGTCTAACAAATCTATTTAAACCTCAGAATCACCCTTCCCCCTTCAGAACAGACCCCACATCACCAGGTAAACATCTTACAAATCTACTTAAACCTTCTCTGCTATCCCAGAACAGACCCTGATTCACTGTACCTTACACAGCTCCTCCTCAGCTACTAACTTGTGTTTGTATTTCTTTAAAGTTAGAAAAAAAAGTTGAATGTGTATGCAGAACTCTTTTTTGCTTAGTGAATCAATTTTCTTAAATATACTTGCTTTTGTTTTAATGAAGAAATCTATTCAGCATTTTTATTGTTGAAAATTTGGAAATGCAGATCTGCCCATTATTCGGTAGCACAAAACAGGTGTTATATCTTGATTTCTTACACTTATACCTAACTGTGTATCACTCAATTTTACTGTAGATTTAATGCAATCACATGACATCAAGATCTGACTTTCAGGATCACCACACTGTGGTTTTCTGAATCCAAATCACTACTCTCTGAAACTGATGACGTAGTACGCAGAAACATGACGCTACTTTTCTTGCACATTAAAAAGTTCCTTGACATTATGCTTTGTTAATGTATAAATATTATATAATGGATCTCAACAGTTTATTATTTTAATTTATATATTTCTCTTTCAGACACAGAAGACTTTGACGCGCCAGAATTCAGTGGGGAGGGGAACTCCGTACCAGCAGCAGATGTCGGTAGACTCGAACGACAGTTTCAAACTAGGCAGCAATTTATCTTTCTCTCGTTCAACCAGTTTCACGCAAGGAAACATAAGTGACAGTGACACTGACCAGACGTCTCTGTATTCCAGCAAGTCCTTTGACGTGTCGGATTCGTTTAATTTCAGTCCCGTGAGTAACTCTTCCGTGTCGCGCATGGACGTCGGGGAGTCTTTGGAGAACAAGGTGGTACACAAAGATCTGCGCTCTCTCTTGCTTGGTTCCCCCAACGAGAACAGTGTTCTACCCAGTAAGGAGCCGAAAATTAAAAACGCCAAAGGGAAAATGAGAATGAAGCTTTCGGGAATTAAGAATTCCGATTTGTTGGGAATTAACAACAAGAAATCTAGTGCTGAGGCTTACGACTTCAACAGTGATGAAGAAGACTGCAATGACTTGAGAATGATGTCAGCCTCTCCTGCTGGATTACATTTGTTTAACAAATCAAAAAACGCCAAACACTTCTTGAATAAGTATGGAAAAAGTGACAAATTGAAAAAGAAAGAAGCAAAAAACACGGAACCCGGAAAGAGGAAGCGAGACAAGAAAGAAAAGGAGCATAAGAAAAGAAAACGGTTAGAAAATAATAGTAGGTCCACGTCGTGTGAAATGTATAGTGCTACACCTGTAGAGAGTGAAGACAAGACATCAACAAAACTCAAGATCATTAAATCTGTAGGACTTTCTATGGAAAATAGCCCCCGATCTTCCCCCTCAAGCCGAGACAAGGGCGACGGAGGGAAAAAGTACGAAAGTAAATCAAACGTAAATAGTCAAAAATCAGTGAAAAATTCCCACAAGTCTTTGTCCATGTCAAGTGTTAGTGTCAGTAAGGAAGACTCCAAATTAATGACAAAAACCCCCAAAATCAAGCTAAAACCTATTGCAATACCCTCTACTTCTGCTGTTACCAGTGCTAAAACCCCCACCCCAACTTCCTCACCCACGCAGTGCAAGTCTGGATCCTCCACTCCTACTTCCACAACTATCGGAAGGATCGGGGCCGTGTCCATTCTAACCTCGGGAAATTCTAAAACGGGAACGATTACGCCCCCTCCTGGGAAAGTGACCACCCCAACTTCTTCAAAAACTCCACTCCCCTTGGGGGGTTCCTCTAAAACATTTCCAAGCAATAAAAATGTTGCCTCCTCTTCATCTACCTCACAAAAGGCTGCTACAGTGGAAAGAAAGCTCTCCCAAAGTGGTCGATTGTCTTCTGGAATTTCCAAAAGCTCAAACGGGAAATACTCCAGCGAACGGAAAAATGGATCTCCCTCATTGTCAGGGAGTAAGAGCAGTTTGAACTCTTCTAAGTCATTGAACTCATCTAGCAAGGGACAGTCATCCTCTTCCTTTGGTAAGAATTCCACTAATCCACTTAACTCTGTTTTGTCATTCTTGAATCCCAAAGACAAAGGGCTGTCCAGCCTTCCACGCATTCCCAAGATCAGTTCTGCATCTTCATCCAATTTGAACAGTACCAAAACATCCGTTTCTATGACCACCACTGCTGTCACCATGACAACCACAGTGGCAACAAGTGTTGCTGGATCTCCAAAAATAACAACCGTGAACTCACACACTGGGACGAAAGTCAGTGTCTCTAACCAGTTCCAAGGAGGACTTAAAAACTCGCCCAATTCACTTGGAACGCCAAAGACTCCAACAGGTGGGAACTTTTTAGCTAATACCAAAAGTAATGTGAATTTGACTTCGGGCCCTAGGGGAGGTATTTCTGGTGGAAATTCACCCACTGTAAGAGGTAATCAACTAGGAAACAGATCTCCAAATGTCAGTAATTCTTCCAATAATAAATCCCCCAGCAGTTCCGGCAAGTCTCCATTAAGTCAAACAAGCAAGCCTGGAAGTGTGAGCCGGCAGAATTCGAATTCCAATCCTCCTAGAACACCAGTTGGAGGTAATACCTCACATCCATTAAAGACGCCTCCCAGTGCTAGCGGTAGTCCAAATATCAACAAGCTCAATTCCAACAGTGTTAGTAACAGTACGAGTAAGGCCATCCCACAGAGTAGTCCATCTAACTACCCCACCAAACCTTCTACAGGACAAGGGTCGAGTGCTATGGCTTCTTCCAAAAGTAGTAGTAGTCCAGCTGTGAGTCAGTCTTTAACAAGTAAGACAACGAACAGTTCGACCAAAGCTTCGGAATCACCCAAGTCTGTAGTGACGGCTAGCAAAGTCACGAGTCCTATAACTGTGAGCTTGGAAACACCACCAAAGACAACCGCTGGTTCTCTGGTGTCCCCCACTATACCGTGTACCAATTCCAAGATCCGCCCCCGAAAAAGCTCCCTCTCAGCAGTGATAGATAAACTGACGAATGCCAAAGTGCCTCATGGATTAGGAGGAGAGACAAGCAGGCAGAACTCTGTGGATGAACCAGAACAAACCAAACAGAAAACAGAGAGTGCATTGGAAAGTGTGGACAGAGCTAATGGTAGTTCAGATAAAAATGGGTCCGACCCGAAAGCTGATTCCAGTGATAAAAATGTTTCTGTTTCTGCCAAGGATGTGTCAAGTGGAATCGATAAAAACAAGGATTACAAAATTGTGGATAATTCACGGAATTTATTCGCATCGCTTCTAAAAAGTGCTTCAGAAAATTTTTCTTCCAGACATGATAAGGACGACAAGGAAAATGTGGCAAAGAATGAAGTCAGCAAGAGTGTGGATGTGAGTGAAGAGAAAGAATCCAAAATTAAAGATTTATCTATGCAGACAAACAGTAAAAAATCCCCCAAAGCAAGTCCAAAAGTGAATGGTGAAACGACCACTGTGGAGAGTGTCCGTAAGGGGGATGGTGATGTGTTCAAAGTGCCGACACCCAAAAGCGTTGTGTCCATCGACGAAATTAATTGCGAGGATATTGAGAACATGTCTGTCCGACGAAAAGCGAGGATAAGCACCACCAAGCCTGTTTTAAGCCCTGCTAGCTCGGGAGGAAGTCCGGAAAACTTGATCATCGATTGTCAATCTCCCCGTCAAAATATCAGCAAGAACAGCTCGCCCAAATGTGTGGTGGACCTTAATGAGGAAAACAAGAAATTATCGCCAGTGACGGTGGTTAATTTCCGTCAGAAAACTCACACACCTTCTCCCAAACCAAAACCCTCCCCAAACCCCTCACCCAAGTCTATACAACACAGCTCCCCTGCTGGTTCCATAGATTTAGACGACGATTTGATGAATGAGGCCCTTATGGGTTTTACGAGCTGATATAATACTGTTATGACGTGTATTTTTGTGTTAACGATTCAATGTAGGGTGTTGCTCAAATGACATACTCATGGCAACGTTGAATGTTTTAAGATTTTTTTTTTCTGTTAAGCATCCTGCATTATGTTTACTCTACAGAGTCCTGCTTGCTTTGTTTTAGATGAATTTATTTGTTATTTATTTACTTTTCTTTACGCACTTTTAGAAATGTGTAAGTTACTTAGCTGAATCTCTGTTGATAGGGCCAATCGTGCAACTCAAGATCCACAGTACTATAAAGGTTCTTTTCTTCCCATTATAAAATTTCTGAAATTTTTTGGACAAAATTTTTTAAAATCTTTGCAAGCTTTTCTGAATTTAATAAGAGATCTCTGTTTTAAAATGATTAAGGTGATGATTAATGTGTATGCAGGGTTCATATCAAAATTTTACTTGCTTCAGCTATTGTCAAATATTGCAAACAGTGTATATGAAAATAGTTTGAATACTATACAGGGTTATTTTCGCCCCGCTTTATTTTCGCCCTTTCACACTTAAAAACGTGTTTGCTCCGTTTTAAATTCGCCCAGTCACAGTTTTCTGTAAGAAGTTATACTGTGTACTTTGAATTTCCCCTTTTTAAATTCGCTCATACAAGGTTAGGGGGAAATGGGTGAAAATAAAACAGGGGTTAAAATTTCCCTGTGCACAGTATTGTACTGGTTATCCCAGAAGATACTCTTTTATCAAGCAAAAAGAAAAAAAAATCCAGAGAAGTCTGTAAATGGTGCTAACTTTATCTATTTAACATAAAAAAGTTCCCTGAATAATTTTAAATGAAATTGAGTAAATTATGTGATAAGCATGATGAGGAAATGGTTTGATTAAAATGAAAAAGTTTAGAAAATTTTTCTTTCAAGGATAAATGAAAAAGAATTTTCTCATGCCACCAATGAAAAACTTTGATTTTAGCTGGATTGTAAATTGATGATTTTTGGGGGGTCGATTCTCCGTCTAAGGCAATCAACAATTTTTTTTTTTTTTGGTAATTGATATTCATGCATTTTCCTCTGTTTTATGTGACTTTTTCACATGATATTATCATCAATCCTTAGTTATGGGTAAAACAATAGGAACTGGGCAGGGATATCTATTTAGTGCATATCATTTTTAGAGTTTTTTTTTCTTTCAAAACTCGTAAAATGCACATTAGCTTTCTATAATCCTAATTCTACCAAAGATAAAGATTAAAAACAAATTTTCTAAGAAAAAACTGATAAATTTTACTCGCCTTTTCTTCTGTGTTTATTATAAGCAGTTCATTATTAAGGACAGATGATACAAACAAATTTTTTCTTTGAAAAAGATTAAACATCATGTCACAAGTTTAGAAAAGTGGATGGTTCATAGAATTTTTTCTCCGAAGAACTGGAATATGAAAAAGACTCCGTAAATATTAGTAATATTTCAATGAAAAAACAAATATAGACAAATAACATTCAATAAAGGTTTACAGGTGAAAATAAATTTCAGAATATGTTATCTTGGCGCTAAAAGTGTATTATAAACTTAAGAAAAATATGCCGAGCCAGGTGATTTTTATTAGGAAAAGCTAAATGGTATAAATCAGCCTTTGTGATATTGCCAATTTTTTGTCATTTCGATCTTCCTCTTAAAATTCACCTGGCTTGGTATATTTTTCTTAAGTTTATATTACACTTTTAGCACCAGGATAACATATTCTGAAATTTATTTTCACCTGTAAACCTTTACTGAATGTGATTTGTCTATATTCGTTTTTTCATTGAAATATTACTAATATTTTCCAAATCTATTTCATTTTCCAGTTCTTCGGAGAAAAAAATTTTAAGAACCATCCACTTTTCTAAACTTGTGACAGGATATGTAATCTTTTTCAAACAAAAAAATTGTTTGTATCATCTGTCCTTAAGAAAAATAAAATTTGTAATTGATTTTTTTAGTCCCAGTTAGCATGGTTTTGTACTTGGCTTTGAGACTTAAAATAAATGGCAATCTAGTCTTTTTCTCAGGTGTTCATGGATCATGGAGGTTCTACCGTGTGGGTTAATTATGACACAATAACATTTCATATATCTAGAGCAAGAAAATTTGAAAGAATTTAATTACAGCGTGTGAAGCAATTTCAGCCTCATCATGAACTTGTGATAAATTCCATGCCATAGAACATGATAAAAATAAAATTTTCATTAAGTTTTCTACAGAGAGCAGAGTTTAATTGTCATTTCCTCAAAAATACTTGGGACTTTTATTTATAGAAGTATTTTCTGATTTGATGAGGGATCTTTTGAATTTTTGTTTCTCGATAATTATGATTGTTTTGGAAATTTTAGAAAAGTATATAAATGGTCAATTTTCTTTTTCTTAAGGGGGGGGGGGGGGTATTTTTATTTTTATTTTTTTTTTGAGATTTGAAAAATGTGTGACATTAGAGATCTTGGTATAATTATAAGTTGATGATAATATTACAAATCCAAATCTTCTAAACTGAAAATTTACTGACAACAAAAAGGACTGCAGTAGGTGATTAATTTACATCTTTGGGGACCAGAACTGGTGTTCCCAAAATTTTCTTTAAGAGTGATAAAAGTTCACAACTTAAAACACAAAATGATCAGTATTTGAATAAAAATTGAAATTAGGAAAATGGGGTGAGCTCAATTTCAAGGTTGCTTCAAAATTACGGGAGTTGGATGTAGTTATAGGCACAATAATACTCATAAGCAAATATTGAATATTGTGTGTATATGGGTTGAACTTTTGTCTGAAAAGTAAAAAAAAATGTTTTCATTGGGCAGATAAAAGTCCCTCCTCCCCTTAATATTTGCTGTGTATTTATTGGTTAGATTCTATTAATATATTTTTCTTTTGTATTTGGATTGTTTATGAATTGTATTATTTTACTTTTCTGTTACTGTATTGTCATTATTTGCTTAACATAAAGGAATTTGTATCGAAACATCACGTTGAGTAAAAAATTGTATACATACATGTTTTCATGTATTATGTCCCCTTTTTGTATATATTTGTAGATAAAAGAAAAAAAATCTGTTGACATTTTATATGTATGACTATGAAATAAAATCAGCAATTGTGAGAAACATATTTATTTGATTTAATATCTGTACACAACACACACATATATATACATATATATCTATATTTCTTCCGTATGGGAAGGATTTTATAATGTTCTGTTATTTGTAAATACGAATGGAGTGTATATATGGCTGATCTATAAATTTAAATGCTGTCTTTTTTTTTCGCAATGCTGTACTTTGTACATTTTAGAATTCTATATATATTATATAAAGCAACAGTTTTATCTGATGTCATGTTTTTACGTGTTTCTGATTCTTTTTATTTGACATCATAGATGTTTATCAAATACAGTCATTATAATGTCAAATTAAAATGTTAAAAAATTATTTGCTTTTGGGTGTCCTTTTTCATCAAAATCTTTTCCAAGGCTTGATAGAGGTAATGGCCCAGTAGAAACATATTTTTCAATAAAGTCTGATCACATTTTAAGGAATAAGGAAAATTGTCAAATTTAGGAAACAGAGTAAAAGAACCTGATTTGTATATATTTATTTTTCTATTTGTAAAGGACAAGATAGGGTAACATTCGAATTTGACCCCTTATTTGATGTAAAAGTCGGAATAATGGTAAAATTGTGATAGTTTGTAGTTAAGAAGGTAAAATGATGCTTACTTTAAAACAAGGACTAATTTAGATTCAAAGCTTACAAAGAAGCCACTAGAGGGTGCAGAAGTAGGACATTTTCTAGAATTTCCTCGATTCTGGTAGAATTTCATCATATTTGAGACACTTTTCTCTTCAGAAAACATAGAGCACAAGCTTGCCTATTTGAGATTTTTACACATAAACTGCATCTGATCTTAGTGTGTAAAATATATAAATTTGGTAGATAGGCAAGCGTATGCTCTATGTTTTCCGATACTCATTTTGTGGTAGGGGTGACAACAGGGTTTTATGGATAAACTTTTGGATCATTCTGAAAGACACCCAAAATCGGGGGCCAAATACTGGTCTTGCCCTATCTTGTCCTTTATCACATATTTTAGGGTAAAAATCTTCTTTGGATAAAAAAAAACTTCAAGGGGCATGGACACATTTGAATTTGATGTTTTCTAAAAAAAAAAAAATAATAATAAAAAAAAATAGTATATCATGACAATAGTTGCTAGAGAATTTTTCGCTATAGTATAATAAAACATGTTTAGAATTTTTTTTTAATCTAAACTACGCTGTACTAAACCTTTTTCTTTACTTCTCGTAAAACTTTTAACTGCTGTTATGGAGAAACTTCAGACGTAATCTTTTGCAACATATTATATAAGTAATTTATATGAAATGTGGATTTTCAAAAACAAAGAACTTTTACTTCTATAGAAAAAAAATTCTAACTTAGATGCCCATCAACTGAAGGCCTTCTGGACACGTTATTAATGATGACCTGAAATAAATTAAAGTTAATAGGGGGGGGGGGACTAAATCACTTATTTAAAAGAGTCAAAATTTAGGGAGACACGGTCGTTCAGCTGGCGTCATAATTGTAATATATTACGAATACTAGAATTCTGTGTAAGATTACGCCAAGCAATAGACCAGGCATGAAAAGAAGACAAAAATTCGACACTGTCGGAATGGATGAGATATATTAGGTGTATTTTGTATGTTGAAATCTCGCGTAAAGCGATTGAGAGGCAATCCTTCTGTGTTAAATAAAAAATAAGAGGTGAAAAAATGGATAAAGTACATGATCAGTATGTACTGGTTCCAACTGACAGATAACAACATTGTCTCTTCGTTTGTAAGGCTCGTTATTTGAATGGTATTTTTAGTGGAACTGGGATTAATTCTACAAGAACAACGACATTCAGTGCCCATAGCTCTCTTTCTAAGGAAGAAATTCTTCAAAGTCGGATATCAGTTTTGAATATATTTTTTTCATATATATTCCTAACAAACAAAATGAATATGAAATCCATATCTGTATTGGATTCCGTAATTTCTTAAAAACCTAACAGAGATACGTAGCAGATTTCAGAATATGTTCCACGAACCTCTTTCTTCACCATCACTATATAATAGCAGCGGCGAAAGAGAAACTTCAGGAGTACCATGCAACAAATTTCTCTGAAAAGTGTTGTAAATCAAATGTGGATAATTCCAATGAATATTTCGAAAATTTGAAAACAAGAATTTTACCAAAATCAATAACATAAAAATCTTTCGACTTTTAAACTCTATATACAACCATGCATTCCCTACAAGAAATTCAATTCCAGGGTCTTTGACATCCATGACAACTTAAAAATGAAAATAAAAAGTCGTAAACTATATCCACATTTTCATTAACTGGTGTTTGCAAAATTATTTTGCTAAAACATTCTGATTGAACACACGTGAAGTACTCTGCAGCTCAAGTTGATATTAAAAAGATGCAATATCTGTATGTGGTTGTAGAAGACCAGGTCTTCCAAAAATCTGTTTGAATTCGAAAGGAGACCTATTTTGGTATTCACATAATCGTAATTTATTCATAATCTTATACATTAGAAGAAGAAAACACTTGATGTGGCCTTCAACTCGACTTTTAGATATAGCGACGACGTATTACGATGGGCGTTCAATAAATAATGTCATTGGGGCTCATAATTATCTCACCAGCATGTCATTGTGCAACAAAGTCGTCAGCATTTTATTTGTCCTTTGAACGGGTGAAACGTTTTGAATGGCACTCTTATCGGAAAGAAACAAAACAACGCTTTTCTACGATTTAGTCTTAATGATTTTACTAAAACATTCTCTTTTAATTAAAACACATATCCGTAACACTTTCATTCAATTTCTAATTGTTTTTAGAACACGTTTTTGAGTATAACCCTTCGTATATTGGAATATGGCAGATCCTATGATTTGCTGTACTTGTTTTTTCTTTCTGATAGATGTTTTTCTAAGTTTTGGAAATGAAACAAGTCAAAGGTTGAAAGATCTAGCAAATTTTGTTGGTGTGACAAAAAATTAACTTTCTGTTTATCCCCAAAACTCCCTGACTCTTCATGGCCTGTGGGTTTGGACGCTGTCATGAAGAAATTTAATTCAAAGTGAATTCCTCATTCTGTTTCCTTCCTCTCAAAAACCTTTCAATTTTTTTGCAAAAAATTGTTTTCTAGACTCCTCCAGAAATTGAACTTCCTCCCCCAATATGAATTTGAACAACAACGCCGCTAATATTTAAGAAAATAGCATATAAAACTGTTTTTGTGTTCTTACAATTCTTTTCTCTTCTTAGGCCTTTGCAGTTTTGTCAGATGCGTCTTATTGCAAATTTGTTTTGAGGGTTTAAAGCTAAATGGATTCAAGTTTCATTATCTGTTTGAACTTCAGACAAACGTGGATAAGTACAATTTTTGATTTTTAAAAATAATTGTTTAGATGTTCCTACACGTTGTCGTTTTCACTCATTTTTCAAAATATAGGGGGACCTTTGAGTATAAAACTTTTTTACTATCAAATGTTTCTTTAAAACAGTGTGAACTACCCCCAAAATGATTTTTTATCAATTTTACTATGTGTGTTAAAGTCAATAAAACATAATCAGTGATAATTTGTTGAATTTTCGCAAATATACATTGGTTGTTAAAAGTCATTGTTGCCAAGGACGGTACC